CTTTTCGCCGGACTTGGTTCGAGTCAACGTTGAACTAAGCTTCCGATCACATGTCTGCAATCCAAGATTAACAGGTAATTAATTAAGCATAATATCATCTTGATAATAACCCTCGTAGTAGCATTAGAATATCAATAGCAAAAAAAAGCCAACCTCAGAGCAAGGCGGGCAATCACCATCGCAGCAGCGGCGCTTACAAGCATGCCGCCCACAATCCCTAACTTTCTGGCACTTCCTCTCACACGTCAACTCTTGATAGCAAGGAACCTACTCTAAAACCAATCCACCATTCCCCATATCCAAAAATACATTATACAGAACAGTCAATATAAAAAAAAAACGCTGCAGAAAAAACCAACAAATACAAATGCTCACTTACCTGCTTCTTCAAGCTCCCACACCTACAAGATTTCGTAACGACATTCCTACAAGTTTGAATGCAGGGCCCACGATGGCACCTCTCGGAACACCTGTGAAACCTGCAACTCAACATCTTCTCGCAAGTGGCCCCACACAAAGGCACGGCGACATCACACGCCATCCCTTCATAAGCTCTCTTTCCACAAGGACACGTCATCTTCCCTTGAAGTGGGCAATCCCCGCAGTCACCCTCGTGACATCCCCTCTCACAAACATGCCTCCCACAACCCAACATCCTATTACAAGCATTATCGCATCGAAAATCCCTCTCGCAACATTCTCTCGTAGTCTCCACTTTCCCGCATTGACACTTGTAAGTCCCTTTTTCCTTACACGGCAGGCACGATCCATCGTGGCAGATCTCGCCACATCTATGAACTCCACATTCCAGTAGCTTCTTACAGACTCCATTACAAGAGAAATTCTTGAATCCACATCGCTTAACATCCTCTGATTTCCTGCAGAAACACTTGTTCCTCACTAACTTCGGGCAGGCCGGGCAAGGACCAGGGTGGCACAACAGCAGACAGAAATGCCCGCAATCGTATTTCAACGACCGGCCGCAGATTTCGCCGCATGAATGGGGCAGGACCCACGGGTCGCGGGGCGGATCCTGGACTTTGCCGCAGAAACAGAAGTAATTCTTCGGGGTTTGGGTTTTGCGGTACTCGACGCGGCATTTGGGGCAGGGCCACACGAGGGAGTTCTCGTCGGGGACGACGGCGGCGCGTAGGGAGGCGCGTGAGGCGGCGAGGTTGATGGATTGGTTGGCCCAGGATTGGATGCAGAGGAGGTGGAAGAGGGCGAAGCAGCTGGAGGAGCAGGACCATGTGGGATCGGTGGGTTTGATGCGCTCGAGGCAAATGAGGCAGGAAAGCGCACCGGAGCGTGAAGAGGTGAGGAACGATTGGATCTTAATCAGGTCTTGATTCCGATCGTTGTGCGGATAACTGGAGTGGGAGAGGTACGATTGGAAGATGGAGGAGGAGAGGTCGGCGTGGCGGTGGTGCGTGGAGGAGGACGAGGGGGACGAAGTATCGGAATCCGAGTCGGAGGAGAGTGGCGGTTGGACGGCGGAGGAGGACATTGTGGGCGGCGGAGCTGATAATTATGATTGCAGCGAAGCAGATGAAACAAAAGAACTGGTTTTCCGGGTCGTAAAAAGGTATTACCCGGAACAGCGACTTTGGTTTCAAAATCTACAGAAACGTGGTATCCTCAAACAGCAACTTTATTAGTTAAATAGCATTTTATTATTCAAAAAGCAAATAAGTAGTCGTCTCAGTAACTGTAAAATCGTTGAAATAACACAACATTTATTACACAACACAAACTCTTATTCCTACAAATCACACACAAACACACACAGCTCCACAAGGTAAAGTAATACACAAATATATTGTCGTGTGTATATATATATACATGTGATTGTCTAATTATACTGATAAATATTAATTGCCTCTCAGACAAACTCAAACCGCATAAGTAGCTTCACGGAGTTGTACTTCTCCCCTTTCCGACTGCTAAGAGGAACTGCTCTGATACCTTTCCTCAGCTCATTTACAGGCAGGCATGTCTGGCCGGCAAAGTCATCTTTTTCGGACATATCATACTCGTGAACTTCGATCCTAAGTAGCGCAAGTTCAGGTACTGTTAGTGGGAACTCAAAAACCTCGTCCCAATTAGGTATCCAGTTATCTTCAAGAGTTTTCGTTTTCTTCATAATAGTGTCCGCGGGTACTCCAGCAATTCCCACCTTTGGATATTTAGCCAGAGTATTTCAATTTTAGGAACCAATGACAATTGACAGCATCCATAATCACATAATACGTAAGCTACTTACCCTAGCGTAGAAATCTGGAGGGGAATACGCATCAAAATGTGTATGACGGAAGTCGAAATACCATCCTTCGCCCATATAGACAGTCACCTGCTTAACAGAAAAGGATGCAATGAACAAGATTAAGTATTACATAAAACATCACTGGGATTCTAGAAGATTGAGGAAGTTGTCCAGTTTTTCAGGTTACCCTCAAAGTAGTTTTGACAGGTAATGTAGCTCTAGGGTCGAAGACCTCGCCGTATGAATCAGCTTTCAACAAAAAATCTGGCTTTTTGACATATCCACAACCACCATTCGCCTTGAACATGCCATGCATCACCCAAAGAGATCTTCCATAACCCTGTTGATCATACATAAAACCATGTTATTATCTGCTATTTCTGTTGATTTTCTCAAGGTTTTGAGGGTTTTTATTTATTTATTTATTTATTTGTTTTGAGGTTGTTAACTTAATATTTATTCAAAGTTCTATGTGGAAACTGAAATCGGGGAACTTCAGTATTGAATTGAAGACCACTAACCTGCATGTTGAATGCAACCATTTGAGCTCCATGCATCCATCCAATTAGGGGGTTGTAATTTGAAGAGTCAAAACGTATACCTTTAGGGTATACTCTCAGCAAATTTCTCTGTGTAAACCTGGAGGAAAAAACAAATGGACATATTATTTTCTAAAAAAATTCTAAGAGAGTCCATTCTGGAACATGTAATTTTCACAGCATGTATTATGCAAGTGACTCTAGATTGACTGTGGCAGAAAAACACCCACCACATATGCTATTTAATACTAAGTTTGTACAGGTTACGAGAATAAATAGATCAAATTTGTATTGATGAGAATGACATCAGCTTGGGAATGGAAATTAAAAATGTTTAAACTATATTGCTAACAGAAATTATTCAGATGTGGAACGGTAAGAGAAAAATACACTCAAACTAACTTCATTTCATTTCATATTAATGTTACCTGACAATATCTTTTCCGTAAGTTTCAATGGACTTCTCTAATTCTTGCTCGCTCAAACTAAGGCGTCTCACTTTATTAGGATCGACCCTGAGCCAGTCCAGCATTCCTCCCTTCCCTTTTCCAGCACGAATAGCAATCAAACGCTTATACTCTGGTGCAGTATTCTGCTCTGCCTTTCGATCCTCTTCATCATCATCCTCATCATCATCCTCTATATCCACATCCTCATCCTATAATAAAAGAATAAGGCAAAATAAGAACTACAGAAAATGAAGTGAACTTACTAATATTTAAGAGGGAAATAGAGAAAATATGACCTCATCATCCATTTCGGATTTAAGATTTTTGACTTCCTTTCCCCAAGCTTCTTCGTCACCGGAATCTTTTCCCTGCTTAGAGTCACTCTCTTTTTCTGGAACCTTCTTGGCATGTAAGTACTCTTTGGGTGGTTTGGTTGATATCATAACCCTTTTCTTTAGAGATTCGGGAGAGGGAAACACGCTTAAGCATTCTGAATCGGGGGTAAATAGGATGTCCCCAAATGTTTGAGTGATCATCTAGATTCAATGATTAAAAAGTGATTACACAACGTTTAATTTGCTTTTAATGATACCTATAAAGTTCATAAACATACCTCAGCCACTTTAGCCTGAAGAACTGGGGTAAGATGATCTTCTAGTGTTATTACAACAGGGTATTCGGATGCAACAAAAGCATGTTCCTTGATTGATTTCAAACACTTGATTAGCTCAACAGGTGTAGTCAGTGTCCTACACAAGAAAAAAAAAATCTAAGAAAAGAACCTATGTAAATCGAGCTTGAGTTCAAACCTATGTGCCTGTTACTTTTCCATTCAATTTTTTTCTTGGTGTCACAAGTTAGTAACTAACGTTTTCTAATGTGTTTTCGTAACATTTACATTTTTGTTTATTGAAAGGTCAATATTTCAAGTAGGAAGCTTAAATGGGCATTCAACCTTAAAGCTGCATACATAGTTCGAGCCAACAATTATACAATCACTTAAGAATTAGGAATACGCAAATTCAGATAGAACTGCAATTAACAGCATACCTCCCATGAAGAACAACGACATCGTCGTCTGTGGAATTCGGCCATATATCCAACTCAATAACTCTTACACCTTTCTGTAGTGCATTTATGATGGGAACATCGCTACAATCACTACTTAGTTGATTCCCCGTTAGATACGAGTTGTGGCCGGTGTGTATAAAGTAATGAGACAGTGGAGAATTCATGTCATGGTGAACCTGAAAAAAAAATTAAAATCACTTCATCATTAGTAGAGAATCACCCTAACCTAAAATTGAAAATTGAAAATTGAAAATTGAAAATTGAAAATTGAAAATTGAAAATGTTCAGTATGTAAAATAAATTTGAAATTTACTCAGGTGAGAAAATGTACCCCGAGATTGGGGTTGAGAGGCGGATTTACATCCCCAAACAAGTACTTGAAGAAGGACTCGAGATTGAAACCCCGGCGGTGAAATATATTCAGGTGCTTGAGGCTATCCATAATAGCCTGGGCGTCCTCCAGCGTGGCACCCTCCTCCGACTGCACGTCCACCAGAAACTGCCGGAGCTGCTCGGCGCTCATCACGCCGTTCTCCGAGTAGCGATTGAAGATGTCCTTAACGTCCGGCGGCGCCTCCGACGCGGCGAGGCGGAACCTCCGCCGGAAGCAGAAGCAAACTCGGTAGGTCTGCTTCGACATTTCTGATGGAGATTTGTGCAGCAAAGACGGAGAGAGGGTTTGAGTTTATCCTCTGCAAATTGCTTGGGGGGGAAAGGGGAATTTGTGATTACTGATTATGGAGGATTGATTACAAAGGGATTGATGCATTGATTGTACGTGAGTCAAAGTGGAGATAAAGGATTAGACACGTGGAAAGAGTGTGGGCCCCACTGGGTTTGGGGTTTGTTGGACAGCTCACCGCGTATTGGCCACGGACAACGGTTCCATATTTTGTTTGTTTTCTTAAAAAAAATTAATTTTTTTTTTCTAGTAATCAAAAACAAATTGTACATTTAAATTTTAAACAAGTAATTTTTTATTCTTCAAAACATTCCACAAATGCAATTAACACATTCAATAATATATAAATAGATAAAACTTAGACGTGGGTTGTCTTCAATTTGATATTATTTTAGTTGATAAACTTGTATGAGAAATATTCTTACAAATTGGAGTGTAGCTGGGTTTACATTGTTATTATTTTTCAATAGCTTATGAATAGATTAAAGATATTTAAATAATTATATAGAATATCACTACGTGGAACTTGTTTCATATGTCGGTAAATGTGGGGCCCGAAGATGTCGGTCGTTAGATATTTGTGAGGTTTGATTGGCTAGTGGCGAACTCAAAATAAAATGGTGAAGATGGCATGGCACACTCTTAATTATAAGAATATACATATATTTGATTTGTTATTATTTCCTTATTTTAAAATCTAAAACAATTCAAGAAAGATTTTTTATACATGCTAAATCCAACAATTTGATCTATATATATATATATATATATATATATATATATATATATATATATATATATATATATATATATATATATATATATATATATATTCTTTCATTTCTTTAAATTTCTAAGCATGCAAAACAACAAATGAAACAATAGGAAAGCTCCTCATATATCAATGGAAATACAAGTTAGAAATACCAAAAAAAAAAAAAAAAAAAAGTTTCACATCCCATTTCAATTATCTGCTTTCTAAAAGATGCAGCAACTACTGTACAAAAACATACAAAATCCATAAATAAATTAAAAAAAAAAAAAACAACTAAAGCATATATATATATATATATGTCCAAAAACATTGAAGAAATTTCTGATGAGAAGTAATAAATATTTTTTTTTTAATTTTATTTTATTTGTCATTCAAACATGAACTTCATAAGAAGCCTGACAGATTTAAATTTCTGGCCCTTCTTGTCATACAAAGGAACAGCTCTAATACCGGGTCTCAACTCGGAAACGGGCAAACACGTCTGCCCTCCGAAATCATCCTTGTCCGATCTATCGTATTCTCGTACTTCTATCCTTAGCAACGCCATTTCCGGTACTCTTAACGGAAACGTGAATTCTTGATCCCAATACGGCGCCCAATCGTCTTCTATTATCCTCGTTTTCCTCTTCGCATCATCCGCCGGCACACCTAGTATGTATATCTGCATATTATATATACCTCATTATTGATTAAATCATTTCTTTTTTGTAAATAAATTACCTCAAGAGCTATTTAATTACTATTTATTTACTAACCTTTGTGTAGAAGTCGGGTGGCGAATACGAATCGAAGTGCGTATGGCTGAAATCTAAACGCCATCCATCTCCCATGTACACGACTACCTGTCGAATAAATTTAACGGATTTATTAATTAATTAATTATATTAAACTTTTTTCATTACAACAAAAAAAAAATTGTTACCTTTAATGTTTGCCTAACAGGCAAGGGTAATTTGGGATCAAAAACCTCGTTGTCCGGACCTCTCGTCATAAGCAACTCGGGTTTTTTAAAATAACCGCAACAACCGTTTGCTCTAAACACTCCATGCATCATCCAAAGAGATTTCCCATATCCCTGTTTATATATTAAATAATTAATAATTCAAATATATCGAATTCTCGGGATCTTATTCTTGAAAAAATATATATACAACCTGCATGTTAAACGCAACCATCTGTGCTCCATGCATCCATGGACTAGTCGGTCTAAAATTCGACGAAGTTACTCGAGTCCCCTTCGGAAACACCCTCAATATGTTCTTTTGCGTAAACCTACAAAAACCGATATCGATCAAAAGCTAAAATCCGCATTCAAAAAAAAATTAAACGAAAAAATCTAACACTTCAATGAGAGTACCTGACAACATCAGTAGAATATAAAGAAGCAGCCTTCTCGAGTTCTTGCTCGCTCAAACTGAGTCGAACGGCACGATCGACTGTGATTCTTAGTACGTGCCTCAATCCCTTCTTTTTCGCATTTCCAGCATGAATTGCAATTAGACGTTTATATTCGGGAGCCGCTAGTGTTCCCGATGTTTTTTTATTACAGTTGTCACTATCTTCATCTTCACTATCACTCTTTAAAAAAAAAACAGAGATTGCATTCCATTAGTTATTACAACAACCTTAATTAAGACAATAATACTCTTATATATATATATATATATATATATATATATATATATATATATATATATATATATATATATACCTTGTCTTCAGCTTCGGGTTCAGGTTCATCGTCAGACGAATCTTTTTCCTTAGGAGACGAAGTTTCTCCATCTTTATTATTGTTCGATCCGAGGTACTCTTTGGGCGGTTTTGTCGATAGTATTATCTTGTGCTTTAACGCTTCGGGTGAAGGGAATTCCTCTAGTAATCCAGATTCCGGGGTATAAAGCATTTCTCCGAATATTTGTGTGGCCATCTACATAAAAACAAAATTTACGATCGAAAAAAAAAATCGTAAACTTTGAGAATAATACAATAGTCTAATTAAATAGTAAAAAAAAAATCACCTCACCCACTTTAGCCTGAAGGTCTGGTGTAAGATGATCTTCTAAAGTAATTATGACGGGATAAGGCGATTTAACGAAAGCGTGCTCTTTAATCGACTTCAAGCATTTTATCAACGGTACCGGAGTTGTTAGTGTCCTGCAATTTGATATATATATTACTAAATTCACATTTCTTCGCCGTATAATCAATTTATTTATTTATTAATGATGAAATGAAATAGAAAAATGAGGCTTACCCTACCTTCCATGAAGAACATGAATATTGTCTTTTCCGGAGTTAGGCCATAAATC